CAAGTCGACGTGGATGTCAGAGAGAAATTTACTCAGATAACGGTACGAATATGCATCCTGTTTTTTCCCTTAAGAACATTTCATGAAAATTTATTCCACCAGCATATCCACATATGGGAGGAAGCTGGGAGAGGTTGGTGAGGTCGGTAAAAAATGTTCTCAGCATTACACTGAAAGAGAGACACCCCAAAGAAGAAGTGCTTATTACTCTGATTACGGAGGTGGAGAATATGGTAAATAGCAGACCTTTATCATACATTTCAAATGATCCTTCGGAGCCGGAAAGCCTTACGCCGAATAATTTTTTAATGCACTGTTCAAATGGAGCTGCACCACCATTGGAAAAATTTGAGGAAGTCGAAGTGAACTTGAGAAAACAGTGGAGAGTATCTCAAGCCTTAGCGGATATATTTTGGAGAAGATGGCGAAAAGAATATTTATTTACACTGAATAATCAAATGAAGTATGAGAAGGGGGACGACTTATCGGAGGACGATGTGGTACTCGTCATTGACGACACATTACAAAGGAATTTGTGGCCACTTGGGAAAATTGTAACTGTTTTTAGGGGAAAGGATGATAAGATTAGAGTTGTGGACGTCAAAACAAAATCAGGAACCTATAAACGGCCAGTTACAAAGATCTGTAAATTAATGAGTGGTACAGGTTCTTAACGAAAATGAATTGAAGACTATGTCAAATGCAGTGATTTCGTCATGAGGAGGAGAATGTTGTTGCTTTTAATCAATATAACGAAGTATATATTAATGAAATCAGAATGAAAAGGACTATTTTTCTGTATAAAAACAATATGGCGTCCATAATAGAAAAAAAGTTGATGATGATTGCCAGAAGACGAAATGTCGGATAGTAAATATGACCATAAAAAAGTGTAGCTGAAAAAAAGTTTCAATGAAAATGTGTTGTTTATTTTGAGCCAGAAAAACATAAAAACGAAAATTCCGATTTTCAGTTTTTCCGGATTTTCCGGAAATACTCGGAATTTTCCAAGTTTCAAAATAGTATTTTGTTAAGCACAAAAAACCGCAACTTTGCCCCAATTTAGGCTTCGACGTACTTATCTCCTGTAGTTTAGGAGATCCCAATGGTATCCCAAAGGACAATGAACTTTGAAATGATGTCTTTTCGAAAAGTCAATGATTTACTAAGATTCTTCCTCAGTTAAAAGATACGTGTTGCTTTCGGCTTCTGTTAATAAAGTCTGCAGAACTTCGACTCGTGGAAATTTTTCTTTGAGAATAACATTTCAAATAGTTTTGATGGATCTAATGAGTCTCTCCCAACTTTCTCCCATATGTGGAGCGGAGGGGGGTACGAAATTGAATTCAATGTTGTCAGTGGTTAAGTTCGGAATCAACTTATTCTGGTCCAAATCTTTTAAGGCTCTCTTAAGTTCATTTGCTGCTCCCTTCAGGTTCGTGGCATTATCGGAAAATACTTTCCTCTACGACTAATGAGTCTTCTGATTGCCGTTATTGCCGAATCTGTACTCAAAGAGTATGCCATTTCAGTTCAAGATGAACTGAACGGGTGCTCATGCATGTAAACAGTACTCCGTATTTTTTTTCATGTCTTCGGCCAACAGAAACATTCATAGTCCCAAAATAGTCCATTCCGACTATGGCAAAAGGTCGAACAAATGAGGTTAGACGAGAATTCGGTAATGGTGCCATCTCTGGTAGTTCAAAATTGGTATCTGTTAAAACAACTTCTCACTGCTGATCTTATGTTCAGAATCCAGTAACGTTGTCTCAGTTTATTTATGACATACTCTTGACCCTTATGCGCTGCTTTAAAGTGATAGTGAAAAATCAGCAATTTCGTGAAGTAATTGTTGGTTCGAGAATTATTGGGAATTTTGTAAATCATTTGAATATAAAACTCTACTTTTGAGTCGTATTATTCCTTGAAAATGTTCCTTCTGAACATATTTTATCCATACATTTTCGGTGATTTTTATTTCGTAAGACATGAGTTCTTTATTGAATGGCGATTTTTTTCTTATATTACTGATAAATCTCAGCATCCAAGCCGTTGCACGTAACAACTTCAACCACGATGAAAATTTTGTTATATTTGGCAATACTTCCTTTAATTTTTTTGGTTTCGGGAAGTAACACCAACAAACTTTCTCTTCACCTCAGAATTATTGTCAATATCGTCAATACGGTTTCGGCGCCATTCCTCACTTGGGCCCTTCAGGAAGTTGGGACCGTTTAACCATCTACTAGATTCTCAATAATGAAGATTCTTTTCTCTTGTGACTTCATCGGCAACATTTTATTTCGTTGGTACCCAATTCCAACTCCTTACATCAGTGATTTCTATAATTTCAGACACCCTGTATGACACAAAAGGTCTGGACTTCGCCATTACGATTCTTTGTCTGAATTTAAAAATGACTCCAAGTAAAGAGTTCAGCAAGTCTGGGCCTTTCAAAAAAAAGTCATTGAGGCTGGTACCACTGGATTTTGCTGCTGCGTCAAATACAAAACGTATTTTGTCAGGCTTATTTGGATTCGTAACAGGCAAGTACCATATATTTTGGGATGTATTCTGAATTTCCTCATTGGTTAATTTCCTGGCATACCCTTTTTCCAAATATTCTAAATTCTTCATCTCATATTTAACAGCAAAGTTTTTGTCTTTGTCCAGCAATACAAAGTACGAAAATCACATTTAGAAAATGTCAAAATTAGGTACTTTTTAGGTACAGAAGTCAAAAATTAAGTGCTCTGTAACTTACACCGCAACTCAATACTCAAAATTGCGTTGCTAGCCTTAATTGATGCTAGCAACGAAATGAAAATGATAATAAAATCAATTATTAATTTTTTTTCTCAAATCAGGTATCTCGAATTTTTTTTCGCTTATTCGCGGTCGTTTTCATCTTAATTTTTTGCAAGCACCTAATTAGCACTTCATTACCACGCTTAGTTTATACCTGATAGAGCATTCGTCCTCGTTTTCGAGAGACCTGATTCTTAATCTGTTGTTTAGCAAAATTGGAAGCTTTTGTTAATTAATTAGAAAATTTTACGATCCTCACCGTTTATCACTTAATTACCACCTAATAGTGTTCCCTTTACATTCATTATTTTATTAAAATTTTCATTGCGTTGCTAGCATCACATAATGCTAGGAACGCAACTTTGAGAATTGAGTTGCGGTGTAAGTTACAGAGCACCTAATTTTTGACTTCGGTACCTAAAAAAAACCTAATTTTATCATTTTCTAAATGCGATTTCCGTACTTTGCGTTGCTGGCGTAACAGAGCTCGGTTTAGTGCAGTAAGTTTACTGTTTGGGAGTTTGAACTGGTCACTCTTCCACAAAAGTCCAGTTTCCCACTTGTTAAAATCAATCCTTCTAGTAGTTTTGTCCAAGATTGTTGTGGCTCGAATATCATCTGAATTTTGTGATTTCTTGTAATATTTCACTCCCAAACTGTCAATTTTGGAAGAATTCTCAACAAGATCCTCTAAATCTTGCAAATTTTCACGCTGGTAGCTGGCAAAAAAAAATATTCTTTATCGACCCTGTCAAAATGACTTTTGTTGAAGTTGCCATGTATAACCCATCCTAATTTGGATCTAGACAATATGGGATCATTCTTTCCTCCTTCATGAATTTCTCTGGCTATTATTAAACTGATGTTGTTCTGCCCAATGAGTATTTTCGACTTTGCATTATGAAGAGATGATAGTTTTACTTTTCTTATAAAATCCAATTTTTTGGATAGATTTTTCACATCCACAGACTGCACGGAAAGAGACAAATTGTCAACGGTACGGACATTGCTCAAGTTGTATGTAATACTCCCACTTAGACATTTTCAATGATTTTTTTTTGAGTTATAATCTTCGGATGTTATTGAATTTGTTCATTTGATTCTAAAAGTTTCACATGTATCTGTTGCGCCTATTTTGTCTGCCAGCGTAGAATCGATTATGGTAATGATGGATGCTTCGTGAAAGAGGGCAAATGTCTTAAATTTACCTCCAGGTCCGATTAATTCAAGAAGGGCAATCCTTAACAGTATTTCAGTCTTCTGGGAATGGCTAACATGATGACTAACTTGCTCTTCCACCTCAACTGAATTATCATCCACTTCTTTATGCAAAAGTGGGTTATGTTTGAAAGCACAACCATCGATTACACATTTTTTTTACTTCGGCAAAATTTTATGAGATGTGACGATCCAAGACAAGTAAAACACACTTTATTTTCTCTTGCCCACTGCCAACGTTTTTCACTTTTTAAGTTTATTGAAAAATTTGCATGTTTCAACTTTATGTCCATCTTTTTTGCAATATTTACAATTATAAACTATTTTTTCTTGTCGACTGGTAGTAAAAACGTACTTCTTCTTTCTGTTCTGGACCTACAACATATGTAACTGCTTCACTAGTTTCACTCAGCCATATGGAAAATTCTGTGATGGTAACTGAATTCTTACATTTTTTCAATTGTGAAACTTTTCTATCCCATTCCATACGCAAATTGGAGCTAAGTTTTTCATCAATGTCATTTAAGAGTTGTGGATTAGACAAGTAATCGTAGCAGTCCATACTGCTACTGCTGTAATAGCCAAATTTTGTATTTTATTTGAGAAGTCCAAAATGGTGTCAAGCTTGTCCTCCTCAATGTCAGGATTTTTTTACAGAATCAATCAAATCTTGAATGATGTGCCCGGCAGTCCGGGCAAGTAACAAGTGTACTTTGTTGCGGTTTACACATGACAAGTTTACTTTCCGCCAGTAAACTTGCCAAATGTAAACGTTTCTATAGGCAACTTGAACTACCAAAAATTAAATTAAATCGATGGTTGATACTATTTTTCAGCTTCGTTCTTCTTGTACATTGAGCAATATTTTTTTGAATACTTGCAACTGAATACATTTCCTCATTTCTGTATTTGAAATTTACATTTCTCTCTCTATTTTCAAAGAAAGTGATACACATTTTTAGGAAATATACTATTGATGACATAGCCCCACGCTAAATACATACCTCCTTTCAATCGATTCATTTTGTCAGTGTATACATTGAGAATGAAACTCTTCACGGTTGGGGTAAACATTTTTTTTGGATAATAGTTCTTCGTCCAGTCAGGCAATGTGAGATTGAAAGCTTCCTGAAATAAGTCTTGATATATTATTTGCAAAACGTCTAAAATTGATATTTAGAAGTGTCAAGGCAGTTTAATTTTCCCTATATTAATTTCGAATGATATTCAAATGCTCAACTCACTATCAAGTGTCAAGTGTATAATCGATCAGTAGGATTACATTATCTAAAGTTGACCAGTTGAATACTACATTCAATACAATTCCAGTCAATCTTTCTTTAATTTCTATAACGATTCTCCAAGTCTTGTTGAACGAAACAATATTTTTCTGTTTGTCGAAGTCGAATTCGCAGGCCATCAAACCTATGCTTGGAATTTCACAATTTCAATACATATTCACAGTTTTCTCCATTCCTTACCTCTGCCATCAACGTGCTATATATATCCTGTACGCCATCAAAATCTTCTACTTTTTGTCCCGTTATTTCTGTCAGTTCCCTGAATAAATCTTCGTATTCTGCCATCATACTTTTTACTTCAGGTGAATTCATAACTCTTTCCTTTTCAATGTGGTACTGAGGGCAAGGTCTTCTCACCAGAAGCAACTAGAAAAATTATTTATTGATTGAATGTGTATTCCAAAAGATCAGATTTCAGATATGTTCATAGTTGTTCAAATTTTAGAGGAATTTGAAATAAAACTGAAAAAAATCTTTTGTTTTTATTTACGATGTATTGAAAACATTTTATCATAAGATATACCTACAGGGTGTTTCAAATTCGATCCTCACCATTGGAATCTCGGAAACTATGAGAGATACGCAGATGGTTAAATTGGGGCAAAGTTGCGCATTTACCTGACTAACAATATGCCGTTGAGAAGATTCTAAAATTCTGAGTATGTCTGGAGATATTAGAAAAAAACAGAAATTTCGGAAAATGGTCTTAATTTTTTTCTGGCTATATTTATCGAAGGATTTGAAAATAATTGCACTTCCACATTGCCACTTTTTCCCTGCTACATAATGGTGTTTTCATATTTGTTATCTGACGTTTCGTCTTCCGGCCACCATCATCACCTTTATTTTTTATCATGGCCGCTACATTGGATACTTTCTGTTTTGAATAGCACCAGATTTTACCTTTTCAATGATGTACCATAAGTTATCATTCTTTTTCGAATCATTTTTTTTTTCTTATCATAATAGGCTTTGACTTTGATGTTTCTAAATTTGACTTTCGATTTGTTACACTCAATGATATTTTGTTATTGTACAAGTCATTGAATTTTTGGCAAAATATGGCTTTCACGAATGAAGAAAAAAGAGATATGATACAAATTTATTACAAATACGATAGAAACAGTGTTAGGACATCGGAAATGTATTTAAACTTATATCCCGAAAGACGACAACCACATCGAACTATGTTCAAATTATTGGATCGAAATCTCACCGACTTTGGTTCGTATGAAAAGCCAATGAAAAAATAAGGAGACAGAATGGAGCAGGAAACTAAAGAAAATTTGATAAATGAGGTATGTATGAGGTAAGTTAGATATTGCGTCCTTTTCAAAAAAAATAATAATTTTCCTATAAACATGAACCCGGGGAAAGGTAAAATCTGGTTCTATCCAAAACAGAAAAAAACCAATGTAGCGCCCATAAGGAAAAATAAAGTTGATGATGGTGGGCAGAAGACGAAACGTTGAATATCATCATATCTGAAAACACAACTTTGCACTAATTTAATCATCTCCGTATCTCTCATAATTTCCGTGATCCCTATGATGAGTATCGAATTTGAAACTCCCTGTAAACATAAATCTTGATATTTCTAAAAAGCATTCTTCTAGAGCAAGCCACCGCCTACTATGTCCCTCACTGGATACGTCCTTGAAACACGTGTTTCACTAGAACTTTTTACGCATGTACAGGGTACAGGGTGTAACAAAAAAATAGCTTATGAATTGAACCACATCTTTTCTGGGATCGAAAATAACTCGATTGCATAAAACTTATCTCAATGCAAATATGCAAAAAAAGTTTAAGCCCTCGGAAAGTACAAAATGAAAATAAATATTTTTCCAATATTTCATGAACTGTTTAACATTTTGTAATGGAAATAGGTCCATGGCATCTTTTTTATACAAAACTACGAAATCTGTTCAGCCCATAAAAATTTTAGGGAGGGTATTGAACCTCTAAAACACCCCAAACTTTTTTATGCGTGATAATTGAATAAGTATCGTGACACCATTGACTTAATTCATTATTTTTGAATTTTTCAACCTCGTAGCACTTTTTCTAAAAGCCAGTTTGTATCGAGATGCGATAAAATTTTTGAGTAACAGAAAGTAAGTTGTAATATCTGAGTATTCATGTTATTTGCAGGTACAAAAAATATATACAAATGTATGGTATTTCCTGAATTCAATGTTCAAAATGGCTTCCATTTTCCTGAATATACAATTTAACACCGTTTTTAAAAGAAAAACCGGAATTTTTGAAGATCATAGGCTTCTGATTTTCTGGAAGATCATAGGCTTCTGACGAAATCGATTTGCACTTTCAATGATGCGATGCCTCACTTGTTGTTTGCCAATCATTTTAACAGAATACAAGTCCTTTTTCATAAAAACCCAGAAATAAAAGTTAATGGGGTTCAGATCTGGACTTCTGGCTGGCCAAGAAATAGGTGCATCAGAGCCCCTTTCAATCCAACGGCCAGGGTGCAGATCAAAAAGATATTTCCTGACTCCGTTATCGAAATGCGCTGGAGCTTCATTTTGTGAATACTACATATTTTGCCTTATTCCTAAATTTACCTCTTCAAGTATTCTGGTGAATCATTTTGTAAGAATTGTAAGTAATTTGCACAATTTCAATTATTTGAAGGAAATAATGGTCTTATTGAATTATTATTCACAATGCCTGCCCAAACAATTGACTTTAAAAGTATTTTAATAATGAGTCATTTTTTTTGCGTGAGGATTTTCTTCGGCCCATGTGTGTGCGTTATGGTGACTCGTAATACCATTTCTATTAGAGGTAGCTTTATTGGTAAATAAAATATGATTAATGAAATTGATATTCCGATTGTTTTCTGTCAAGAACCAGTCGCAAAATCCCATTTATTTAAGATAATCTTCATTTAGTAATTCGTAAACGGTTGTTAAGTGATTAGGATGAAGCTGCTGATCCTTCAATCTTTTCCAAACCATTATGTGGCCAACATCTAATCAAGCAGTTATTACTCTTGTACTGTTTTCAGGGTTTTCTTTGACAAATTCTAAAATCTCATCGTTTGTATTCATTTTATGACGACCACTATTACCAGCAACTTGTAACAGCAAATTATTGATAAGTCAATAATCTGCTGTAAATTTATTTGCAAACGGCAGCTTTTGGCCGGAGAGCACTATGGGTTCGTTAAAAGATTATTTTCATCAAATTCAAATAGAAATTGAAATGGGCGCCACCCAACTTTGTTAAATCGTAAGTAGCAACCATTTATAAAGCTGGAAAATTAAATGGGGATAATTGATGGGAACGTATTTTTGTGAAGTTTGGTTGTTAAGTAATAGCATAAATAGTAAACAACTGAAATGAATAAAAGTATATTAAAGTTATATGACACAAAGGCTTCTGTGATATGGAAATCAAAGATATTTTTGGGGAAGACTGCAAGATTATATCACATCATTTTTTGGGGAATAGATTTTTGGGGAAGAATTTTGCAAGATTATATCACATCATAATTGAAAAATGCTCACCCATAGTACTATGCATCAGCTCACAACATTATAGCATCATAATCATGATTTTTATAGAGATTTATATGTAGCACTTCCCCTATAGTTTTTTATAGAATTATGAAAAAGGTTCAGAATAACATTATAAGTTGAAATAAATTTTAAGTTCTGGCCTTATTGGTCCTCTTCACATAACAGTAAAATGGAGGTAGTACCTACACTACACCACCAAGGACGTTTTCCCCACAAATGAAGAAAAGGAAAAGATCAGAAAGATCTGTACTTCTAGCCTCTAGCCGAGTTGGACGTAATAGCATGTGCAACAGCAAAGTGATAAGATTCACTCTTTTCAACATAAACTACTTATTCGCCTGATGTCATCCTACAACCCTAAAATTAAATTTTAGTTACAGCAAACCGAACACAAAAAGGTATCCAGAGTATTCTCCAATTTCTGGGGCTTCTCAAAGACTTACCTCTAAAGAGGGTAGGCAATGGTTTATATATCAAAAACCGAGAGCCTCGTGGTTTGATTAAGCAAAAAACTGGAATTTCCAGGGCTAGTTTACAAAATAGCCAGAATATTATTCTACTCAATTCAGGAAGGGCAATTATCAACTTCAACAGGAAGAAGAATTCAAATCCAAAAACTGTGTCCCTTCACAACCACCTTGGCACATCTGCCTTCACAGGAAAAAATATCGAACTGAAGCCTTATCCTTGAAAAGAATCCTGCTTGGTCTTACCAATCGAATTGATTACACCGCAGTTATCGGACAAATGGAACAATTTATTTCACCAACTTTTTCATGTTTTTTGTTTTTCTTTCCATTTTCACATATTCAATGAAATAATTCACATGTCGTACTGTACCAATTATTATTGAAAGTGTTCCGTGAAGAGGAAAATGAAAAGCACAACACAAGCCACAAGCGCTCAGTTTGCGAACCATTTTTCTTCGAACGGCTCAAATGACACGACTATTAAAAATGTATCTTCTTTTTGAACCGAAATAAACTGAAACTGAAAATGATATTCATATCTGCCATTTCTGCAAGCGTATAAACCATTGTAACAGAAAGGTACATTTTTCTCAACACTCTTAAAATGCGCAGTAATCGAAATATTTGGCCCTGTCTGCGCTTCCGTACTTTTGAGATATGCCTGACAAATTCTGCTTACCTTTTAAAAATTTTGGAGTTTTAATTCTATTAAGGTGTTGAGATTGAAGGTGACTTATTCACAGAATATGATATATTATAATTTTGAAATTGGTTAGTTTCTCAACATTCTCAACCAGAAACTGTTTAACTAGTATCAACTTCCTTTTTAGACATTATAATAATTTTATTGAATTTTGATTTGATTATGTATGCATTTTGAAGCAACTGCTTGTTATTTATACATTGGAACTACAAGTGTTGAACAGCCAACTAAGAGCCCGTATCTCGATGAAAACTGTCTTTTCGAAAAAGTGCAACGAGGTCAAAAAAAGTCAAAAATGATTTATTGAACCTATGGTGTCACAATACTAATTTAATTGTAACGCATAGAGACGCTAAAAATTTTATGAACTGAAAAGATTTCGTGATTCTAAATAAAAAAGATGGTCCTACGATAAAAAGCCATGGATTCATTTTCATTATAAAATGTGGAACAGTTCGTGAAATTTTGGAAAAAATCGATTTTTATTTTGTACTTTCCAAGGGCAGTAACTATTTTTGTGCACACATTTGCATTGAGGTAAGTTATATCCGATCGAGTTATTTTTGACCCCAGAAAGGTGGTTCAATTTATGATCTACGTTTCTTTTTCACCCTGTATAACTAAACACTGATCGCAGTGTAGTAGTGTCAATATGTGAAATTTTGCTTTTCCACAAGTTTATCGCATATTTTCAACAAGTAGGTCTTTGAAGGTAAGTTTGAAGAAACTGAAATAATATATTGCAATATACCCATGTCGGTTTGACATTTTTGGGATTGATTGTTGGAATTCGTAATAGATGATGCCAAATTCCTTGCTGAATTTCTAGCATCCGCAGATTGGGCAGAATGTTTGAAACTTGAAACTATTAGTTCGTTTATAATCTCCACAGTAAGCGCAAGTTTTATTTGATTTTTCATACAATCAGGATACAGTGTGTAATACATTTAAATGCATCGTTCATAATTCATTGCAGAAGTGATGTTTTCAATGACTAATGTTGTTAGAACTTCATTTGTACATTTTTCAGTATTTTTAATTGCTGTGGAAGTGAAGAATTGCACGCCAGTAACCTTTGGCAATGAGCAGCCAAGTATTTTCCATGTTGCTACTTCTTTCAATGCTTTGGCTGTCCATGCAGCTGCTTTTTAAACTTTTACCCCGCTCTAAACGACTTAACAATTTTTTTTCTAGTAAAATCCGAATTTCAATTCAATTCAATTTCAGTTTCAAGTTTTTCAAATTGTAATTATTGTTGTTAGAATTTCAACTGTGAAATTCTTCAGTTTAGATGTTTTCAAATGACTTGCAATAAAACCAAGCGACCTGATAGATTTCGATAATTGTACTGACTGATACTTTGATTGCGGGATTCCTGCAACCACACTGCTGGTTCTCCGAATAGAACCTTTTCATGACATCATTCAATTTGGACTTTTACACATTTCCAGAACGTGACTTAAACTTGAAGAGGTACTGGGGACAAACTCTATGAACCAAAATGTTTGGGCAATCTGATTATTTTAAACAAAATGAGTTTTCTATCCAGTACTTTTTTAATTTGAATACAGACAAATTATTCATACACACAGGGTTTTTCAAATTCGATCCTCACCAATGGGATCTCGGAAATTATGAGAGATACGAAGATAGTTAAATGAGGTGAAGTTGCGCATTTACCTGACTAACAATATGCCGTTGAGAAAGTTTCGAAATTCCGAGTATATCCGGGGATATCCCGTATTTTTTCATTGACTTTTCAAACGAACCAAACTCAGTGAGATTTTGATCCAATAACTTAAACAAAGTTCGATGTGGTTGTCGTCTTTCGGGAAACAAGTTTAAATACATTTCCGATGTCCTAACACTGTTTCTATCGTATTTGTAATGAATTTGTATCATATCTCTTTTTTCTTCATTCGTGAAAGCCATTTTTCGCCAAAAATTTAATGACTTATACAATAACAAAATGTCATTGAGTGTAACAAATTGAAAGTCAAATTTAGAAACATCAAAGTCAAAGCCTATTATGATAAGAATTAATTTTTTGGAAAAAAAATGATAACTAATGATACATCATTGAAAAGGTAAAATCTGGTTCTATTAAAAGCAGAAAGAATCCAATGTTGATCATGGTGGCTGGAAGACGAAACGTCGGATAGCAAATCTGAAAACACCATTATGTAGCAGGGAAAAAGTAGCAACATGTAAGTGCAATTAATTTCCCATTCCTTCGAAAAATAAAGCCAGAAAAAAATAAAAACCATTTTCCGATTTCTGTTTTTTTCCGGAAATCTCCGGATATACTCAGAATTTCAAAACTTAGTCATGTAAATGTGCAACTTTGCCCTAATTTAACCATCTTCGTATCTGTCATAGTTTCCGAGAACCCAATGGTGAGGATCGAATTTGAAACACCCTGTATTTCTCAGATATAAAAAATCAGAAATGTGGATTTTCTATTTTTCTATCATATCCAAATTTTCATGAGAAATTCATTTTAACCTTACATTTGAAGCAGAGAACCCCTAAACAACACTAATTTTCAATATTAATTGTTATTGACTTACCGAATCTTGATCTAGAGGCTCAGATGAGACTGGAATTGGTTGCCAGTCCAGAGGACCCCATTTCTGTCCTCCAACTGGTGGCCATAATCCCGCGTTCACCATTTGCATGCTCACCTTAGTTCTATCTACTCCAGTGGATTGAGTATAATACTCATCAGGAGAATAGTGGGTTCCTAAGAAGTTTCCGTACCGTTCTCTGAGGAATTTTCCGACATTGAACAGATGCAGTTTTCCTTCCTGAAAAATACAGAGCATGATAATTGAATAAATATATTCTATATCAGTAGATAGCCGGTGTCTTAGCGAGTTCTACTCATACTGATCGAAAAACCTTTGGTTTATTTTGGGACTTCATGAGTTATTATACGCTTAAATGTCCAATCCTTGAGGAAAGCGTGTAAGGTGAGTGCATTGAGCATTCATACCTCTAAAATCAGTGTGTACCGACATAGTGAATGGGAACAAAAAAGTTGCTGAAATATCTAAAATAAGGAATAATGCCAGATGAAATAAATGAAGGAAATTATCGAGTACCTCTATTGGTTTCAAGGCCTTTAGGCCATTAACATTTTAAGGCCATTAGCGGTAAAAAAACACACTAATTTGATGTATCTAACATGTTTCCAGATACCAGAAAATACCTGCTGTAAGTATGATACCGACGGCGATGACATTATTCGTGTATGTACAGAAGTGCAAGTGTCAGCATTAGACTGAGATGGCCTTCACAATACGCGGATCTCTGGACGAGTATCATATATTATGTGCGCACCGGAACAGCACAATAGAGTATGTTACAGAGGCGTTACATATTTGTATGATGAGCAAACAAAAGAATCCTCCGAATGCGGACCTACCTTAAGTGTGGGGCCTGGTGCGGTTGCCTAGTCGCCACCCCAAAAGGCCGCATAAGATGTCATGAATTTGTTTAATAATCATCGACATGGTAACTCATATGGTTCTGCTATGA